CCATCCATGTTACTTACCGATAATAAGACTGGACACTGGCATAAATTTTGAGGCCACCTGCAGCCTGTAGATAGAACAGAAACAGATAACTGGGCATTTATCAGTCATTAATTATACTGGAAAAGTGAGAATGAATTTATCATGTGTTCTAAGTTAACAGATTTTTATCATCTGCAATCTAAAATCTTGTAGTGTCATACTGGAACAAATTCTTTAAATGTCAACAGAAAAACATGGAACTACTGTTTGAAGTGAATGAGCTGTGGTCTATAAAAATCATAGTTCAAATCTTAGCTGAAGTGTTATCAAACAAATTACTCTATACTACTACTTTTGAAATACAGAATTCTAGCCTATTTCACCATGTTGTAAGAATATTTTGAAGTGCAAACCAGAGGCCACAAACAAATTAATGTTTGATAGTGAAAATATTCAGAACACAGTGCAGCTTATATGCCAAATTATTAGATTTCTGTTATAAAGAAAAGAAATACCGTATTTGCCGGCGTATAAGACGACCCGGCGTATAAGACGACCCCCCACCACCACCGGAAACGCCCTCCAGAAATCCCCGGGGCTGCAGCGGCAGGGCAGAGTGCCAGGGGCCGTGGGAAGAGCAGGAAGGCTGCAGCCTCGGGCGGAGCGAGGCGAGCGGGATGAAGCGGAAGCAACGCAGGGGATCCAGGAAGCCAGAGGCGCCTTCGCTGCGTCCAACAAGCATCCGAAAGCCGGCAGTGGATATACCGGCGTATAAGACGACCCCCCCACTTGGAGGCATGTTTTTCGGGGTAAAAAAGTCATCTTATACGCCGGCAAATACGGTAGTTTTCTAATTAGAACTTACTATGGTGTGGATAAAATGCAAAGGAAGTTTTTTTTTTCTTCTTCTCTCATACTAGGAGCATCCAGGATCAACTAATGAAAATAAATGCTTTTTTTTTTCTACAGCACTTAGTTAGATATGAAATGACCATGAAAGACAAATAATGGGCACCAATTTTTAAAAAATTGAAAAAGGTAATAGAAAAATCCATGGATGAGCACAAAGCTATTAAAGGCTGTATGCTGCCTCCAGAATCAGAGGCACTAAGTCCCTGATGCCAGTGCAGGATGAACAGAAAATGTCACCAGGATCATGTTGGCTTCCCAAAAGCACCTACTGGTCACTCTGTAAAGACAGGCTAGAATTATGTTTGGCTTGATGTAAAACTTCTTGTATTCTTAAAATGTAAAAAATAATAATAATCACAGCCCTAATATTACCTAAAATCCTGGAAATCTGGGGAAATCTTCCCAGAGTATTCATAGTATATATATTGAAGGGTTCCTTTTTTAATTTATTGGACTTAATTATATTTATAGCACTGTACCTCCACTGGAATCAACATCATGATTCATTTCTGCCTTACTGATTTCAAGAGCTGAATTATAAATAATGCTAAATTTGTAACCAACTGGCCCAATCTACATTTATATAAAATATGTTAGCAGTTGTAATTACTAAAGTAGCTGTCCCCCCCCCCCCCCCCTTAAAGCAGTGAGATTTCGCACTGCTTTTGGAGATTCAACAAAACAAGAACAAACCATTCTTTTCTTACTCAAAATAGTTGAGGAACACAGTTAATTCCTATTCCTAGGTACCATGATCATGCATTTGAGTATGATCTAGCCATTTTGCCATACTGATAGGACTGGGAAAGTACATTTGACTTACCTATTAACTTACCCTAATCTTGTGGACCCACTTCTAAAGCATTTGGAACACTTAAAAAAGAAAATCTAAAATAATATTGCCTTGCTCTATGCAAAATCTTGTTTCTGTAGATGGCCAAATTTTCACAATGTGCTTAACTCTTCATTGGATAAGGAGAATGTATTAATAAGAGGACAGTTTGAAGTAGTGACAAGTCTACTTGTCTACGTGCATCAACAGCAGGGGTATAGTCTTATAGAAGACCACCCACAAATACTTGAACTGGATACTAACCATCCTCCTGGAGCGGCACACAGATCCAGCAAGGCTCGTGATTTTGGGAGGAATTGGAATTTGCGGTTCAACTGGATCAACTTAAAAGAAGAACGGGAGCGAAACCCTGGAATACAAAGGTCAACATCAGGCACAGTTCCAGCTACAGCTATGAGGTTCAAACTCTACCTCAGCAATTTGAATAGTGAGCTGTGAGCTTTAAGGAGTCCAGTTAGAACTTCAGAATTAATTCATTATGTTAGAAACACAAGCCAACGCTTGCCAGTGAAAAGATCATGCCTAGCACATAACCCATAATAATGATAGAGGCTTAAGCTCAAACTATGAGGAGAAAACCTCAGATTCTAGTCTAATTCAGCCACACAAGTTCACTCTCAACTTGAGGCTACTCTCTTGTTGTTGCTGGGGAAGGAATGGGGAAAGGGAGCACTATATATGCTTTGAGGTCTTAAATGTAAGGAGGAATAAAAATTGAATAAGTAAATAAGCAGAGGTAGCACATGCACGCACCCCCCCCCCAAAAAAAAAAGATTATGCCATGATTCAAGTCAGCATTCCAATGATCCAAAAAAGCACCTAAAGTTGACTAGGCAAAGTGCTTACATGAATTTATTTGGAAAGCAGTATCACTATTAGGCAGTAATGTTAAATGGGATACTTCTAAAGAAAGGTCTCCAAACTCTCCAGCTCATCAACTCCTTCATGAAATTTCAGATTGTTCACTGATCCTCAAACATTATATAAAAATAATTTGATAAACACTACTTTAATAAATACAACAAATAACAATACTAAAAATAACACAATGCTGTTTTCATTGATGGTTGACCCTGTCTTACTGCTTACTTACCTTCTGTACTAGGGACTAGAATGGAGATCAAGAGACTCCAAAAGATTGATTTAACTGGAACAACTTCCCTTTTAACCCTCAGCTATTTATAGACCCTTTCAATAGTCTCATCAATCCTAGCGGGTTGATACTGACCATGTTGGAGAACCTTGCTCTAAAAGCAAAGAGAAGGTCTGCTCATTGTGACGAATATTTATTCAAATAAATAGCAGAGCAACTGCTTGTATATAAATAAAGTTATATGCAAGTAGTTGCTCTGGCAACTGGTTGTATATAACTTTATTTTTGGTTGAGATCATCTTAACTCTTTTAGTCAGCCTAAAATAAAGATTTCATTAATATTCTGTTCTGTCAAAACTTTCTACCAGAACTCATGTTGGAATTTGTCACATAACACATTATGAAAGGATTTGATACAGAAAACGTTTTTATTGTTGCATTCTGATTGCCAACCACGAATACGTGACAGAAAGAGAATAAGACCTTTAGATAATAAACACTTTTGTCTGATCATTACTCAAAGCTATTTAGTCAAAACACAGTTCCACAGACCCTTTTATATAAAGGATCAACCCTGGGACGCCAAGAGGGTAGTCAGGGCGACTATTCTTTTCTCTTAAGTAGCATTGCTCAGTATGGACAGAAATATAGATTTGCCTCCTCGCGGCCAAACTCTCCAAAGTCGATGGGAAGAACGATAAACCGAAAATAATGTATTAAAAGCCCCATTTTCTCACCGGTCTCTTTGGCCAGATGATAAAACTTGTCTCTTCGGCTCTTTCCGACTTTCCCCTTCTTGCCCATCTCGACTAAGAAACAGCGTCCGCCGCAACTCAGACCCAGGGAATCCCACGTGCGCAGAACCTACCGTGACCCTTCCGCCCACCCTCCTCGTAGTTCTTCCTCTTCCGGTTTTTATTTTTTCTTTGCGCGTGCCAGACATCCGCCCGAAGTTCATTTTCAGCCATTTTGTGTGTGTCGGTTGCCGTTTTTCTCTGTTCCAAAGCATACGATCTGGTGACTTCTTCGCACTACATTTACCATTATCCTCAGTCACTATCTGTGATGGATGCATAAGCTGTATTCCAAAATTACTGTAGAAGATGGCAACTACGTATTCGGCACGCTAAATGTGCCAGCATTTAATCCTGACTGAAATTATTTATTTATTTGATTTGCCAATTGTTTACAAGATAGTAAGTATAAGTGTATACATAGTTGTGGATACATGAAATGGGTACATATAAGAAAAATAAAAGAATAAGAGAAACAATAGGACAGGGACGGTAGGCACGTTGGTGCGCTTATGCACGCCCCCTACAGACCTCTTAGGAAAGGGGTGAGGTCAATAGTAGACAGTCTAAGGTTAAACTTTTTAAAAGGAAGTCAGTGTTTTCAAGGAGTCTATTTCTAAATGTAATTACGTCTGAATCCAAATATTATAAAGACTGTTTCTTTTTGGTATCTGTGTTTGAATCATATTTATTTCCCACATTCACAAATCGTACTTAAAAGCCAAACTCAACCCTACAAGTCCTCTTCCAACATCCAACGATTTCAACAACGCCCAAGAGGCTGTATTTCCGGGACAACTTTTCCACAGGTGAAACACCGGCGTCCCTGTTTGTTAAGGGCAAGAACCAAGAAAAAGGAGGTGCATCGTGCTATTTCTTTCTTCGCTTGGCGCACGCGCATTTCTGACCAGAGTTAATACTAGCGAAAGAAAATGGCGGTCGAGGCATCTGAGCAGGTAAGTGACCTTGTGGATTGTTGAGTCACGTAAGCAACTGCTGCCACTTTATAAAAGAAAAAAAAAAAAGTGGTAGGGAAAGCGCAGAGTTAGCAACGGCTATTTTTTGTTCTGCTAGTGGGACAGAGGTCGAAGAGATGTGATTTCGAAAATAAATGGTTTCTCATTGTATCCGGGCAGAGCAATAGGAAGGGGTGCGGCCTGTCTGAGGAGGGTGTTCCGGTGTAGAAAGGCGTTTTTTTTTTCTGGTGACGTTACAAGGAGGGCAGTAATTACAACGGGGGGGGGGGGGGGATATGTCTCATGTATGTTTACTTGCGACCATCCGGTCTATCCCGAAAGCCGCATCTGAAGATGAGGATATTGTCAGCCTGAAGTGGGGGAGAAGGAATAATTCTCTGGAAATGGGATTTAGGAGTTTTAGGAGATGTCTTGAACTTTGCTTTTTGCCATAAATCTCCTTCCCCCCACTGTAAAATTATATTTTTGGCCTCGGAGGGTGCGAGGTCCCTTGGGAATTTCAAAAAGAATGAATTTTCACACCAGGTCTGCCTTATTATGTATTTCCATGATGCATTTTTGTGCTAACATCATGTAAATGTTTGTAATAACAGACAGACAGACAAGTCTTCCCCAAACCCCAAAAACTTTAACCTTAGACTGTCTACTATTGACCTCACCCCTTTCCTAAGAGGTCTGTAGGGGGCGTGCATAAGCGCACCAACGTGCCTACCGTCCCTGTCCTATTGTTTCTCTTATTCTCTTATTTTTCTTATATGTAACCATTTCATGTATTCACAACTATGTATACATTTATACTTATTATCTTGTAAACAATTGGCAAATCAAATAAATAAATAAATAAATAAAGTGAATTGATTGGTAGATAGAATGGATATGTTGCAAGGAAAGTGCCTTGAATGTTCATATTGTTGCTAATTCAGGTTATTATTTCAGAGGACTTTTCTGTGGAAGTGGAGATGTGAAACAGAAAGACTGTTTTAGACTTTTAATTATTTCTTAAAGAAAGAAATCTTAGGGACTAAACGAAGTATGAAATGGCAGTTACCAGGTGCCAGGAATTACTTGTGCTCTGATTGAAAAGCTACACTTAAAAGGGAGTTTGTCTTACCCTGTTCTGCTTTTCCTTGACAGATGGACCTGGATGAGGGCAAGGGTGGGACAGGGCTGCGCCAGTATTACCTATCCAAGATTGAGGAACTGCAGGTAAGAGTTAACTGATTTCCTGAAAGATTAAAAGTCATGTTCTTTTCTTTACACTTTTTCTTCTGATGGGTAGATTAAGCTTTCAAACGTTTGTAATGTAGTTGATTTGAAGTGTGATTCCTGGATAACTTTCAACTGTATCTTCATTATGGATGATAATGTGTAGCATAATGTAGCATTTGCATTATTGCTTCAAAAAGAAAACACCTATAATCCTGTTCTGGCACTCATAATTGTGAATAAAGTCATGTATGTAGGAAAAATAGGGTTTTGACATATGTCTACTATGTTTGATATGAATTTTTAAGGCATGGTGCATATGGTCCTAAAAATGAAATATGCTGGGGAATGAACCCTCCTTATTACTATGAGAGTTAAAAGACTTGGTTATTAGTATTTTATCCAATTTATACCAGGCTAGAGTAGAAATAGTATAGCTGCCTTTGTCTGTCTTAATTGATATCTTGAAGTGGTACAAATGCTTTGCAAAGCTTTTTGCTCCAGATTACATAATGCTAATAGCGGGGCATATATGCTTTTTATTTTATTATTGTGACCTCTAAGCAATGGTAATTGATTTTCTGCCTGGGTTTTTTATGGAGTATTTGCCTTTTTCCTTTTCCTTGTAGTTGATAGTCAATGATAAGAGTCAGAATCTCAGGCGACTGCAGGCTCAGAGGAACGAACTTAATGCCAAAGGTAAGTTAGAAATAGTGCTTTTTTGGATTGCTTTTGTGACCAAGAAATGAAGAGCAGAATAGCCAAAGCTGTATAAATATTTTGAGAGTTGAATATGGTATTTTAAATAAGAATGATGTAAGACTTTAAATAAGAATGATGTAAGACATTTTTAAATAAGAATGATGTAAGATCAGGGTTGTCAAACTCATTTTCATTGAGGGCTGCATCAGGGTTGTGTTTGACCTCGGGGGGCCGGGATGGGTGTGGCCAGCTCAACATCACTTGTATTGGGGGTGCCTCTGTGGCGCGAGCGTTCTACCAGAAAAAACAAGCTCCTGAACTCTGTTTCCAGCTCTGATGGTTTCATGCAACCCTCTGCCAGCAAAAAACAGAGCTTGGGATAGATGCTTGCAGCCCTTGCAACCTCCACTTCTGCCAGCGAAAATGGATCTTGCAAGGGCCACACACGACCCTCCTGAGTTCCGTTTTGCTGGTAGAGGTGCTGTGGGTCAGTCCATCACTTTTTCCAGGGCAGCCTGGTGGGTCAGATCTATACCTTATATCTCTTTTTATATTATACCTCCTAAATAGCTAAAACCAAATTTATGCTATAGAGCACAATGGAATTGGTCTGCATTATGTATTAAATACTAGCAGAACCACTCTATAAAACACGTGGCTTATTTGTTAAATAAGTTTTAATTAAAGATATCTTTGTAGTCCTCAAATGTTTGTACATATGAGGTTTATGTATTAACTTATGTATTTTATAAGCTTATAGAAATGTAGGGCAAGGCAATGATAGACTGAGATAATATCTTAGGAAATTATTTACTAGGAGTGTTCAAGACATCTGAATGCCAATTTGAATACCAAGCCAGCTGTCTTTACATTGTGTTTAAGTTTTACTCTTCTGCCATCCATTCAATCACCCTATATTGATGCACTATTTATTATTTAAATACTTTACATATTCTAGTACGCCTGCTTCGTGAGGAATTGCAACTTCTGCAGGAACAGGGTTCCTATGTGGGTGAAGTGGTGAGGGCTATGGACAAAAAGAAGGTGCTAGTCAAGGTATGGTTTTTCTTGCACACATCTATCTCTATTTCAGATATTTGTTCCCTCAGTTGGAAATAGACCAAAATAGGAGCAGGGTCTTGAGAATAATAGTTTTTAGTATTTTTTAATATTTATGTAAATGAATAGGGTATGTATAGGGTTAAGATGTATAGGGTTAAAACACTTCTGAAAGCTTCACTAAGTGAAGATTATTAAGGTAAAATTGCTGTGGGGGGAGGGGAGAAGAAAAGAGTTGCATGTATACCACAGGTAGTCCTTGACTTGTAATGAATCATTTAATGACAGTTTGAAGTCACAACAGGACTGAAAAAATTACCCATGACTGGTCCTTGTATTTATGACTGTCACAGTATACCCATGATCAAACTAGGTGTTTGGCAGCCAATATGTATTTACGGTTTTGCAACATCCCAGGCTCATGTTTCCATCAGTTGCAATCTTCCCAGCAGCTTTCAACAAGCAAAGTCAGTGGGGGAAGCCAGATTTGCTTAATAACATGGCAAAAAAGGTTGTACAATTGGATGTGACTACCTTGCTTAGCAACAGAAATTCTGGTCCCAGTTGTGGTCCTAAGTTTAGATTTCCTGTATATAGAGCAGTAATAAACACTCTGTGCATCTTTGTAATTCTTAGATCTTTGAGACAAATTGGTAGCAACTATGTTGTATTTGCAATGTTGGAATAAAATTGACAGTGACTAACTGAAATTTATTTAGGGTTATCGTAGCAGCTGTGATGTTTAAATCAAAGATTACCTAATTAAAAATTAAGCCTCTTAATGTAGTTTGCCACAGTATTTCAGGACAAGAGCAGCAAATTTTATGTATTAGATCCTGCCCTTTTTTCAAAAGTAACTTAAGGCAGCAAATATACATAATATGGTTTAATAGTGAATGTTGAATGAATCCAGTTTTGACATGCATTCCAAAATTAACTCTCCTAAAATAATGGAGGGTTTTCTTTATAGCTGTTTCATTTGCTTTTGCAAAAGAAGCTATGAACCAGCCGTTATTGTACAGCTATACATAACAGCATTGCTTATTGACTTTAGCTTGTTGGCTGTTACAATACAAGAAATATTTTTTCCAGTAGAGTTAATTAGCTATTTTGTATTTCAGGTTCATCCAGAAGGCAAGTTTGTGGTTGATGTGGATAAAAACATAGACATCAATGATGTGAGTAAGCTGTTGGCGATAAGGTCTTTCCTAATCTGGATTTGTAGTTCCCCCCAATGGTTCATCAGAAACTAGGCCTGCTTCCATTACTTACAATTTATTTTCCTCTTTACTGTCCAGGTGACACCAAACTGTCGTGTTGCTCTGAGGAACGATAGCTACACATTGCATAAGATACTACCAAACAAAGTGGATCCTCTGGTTTCATTAATGATGGTGGAGAAAGTACCAGATTCCACCTATGAGATGATTGGTGGTCTCGACAAGCAAATAAAAGAGATTAAGGAAGTGATTGAGCTTCCAGTTAAACATCCAGAGCTTTTTGAAGCTTTGGGCATTGCTCAACCAAAGGCAAGTAAAAAGTGTTTCAAAGGGGCACATAAACCTTGACAAATTGAAAGGATATTAGATTGCTTTTGAAAAACTTCAATAAGATGGGAATGTGAGAGGTTAAGAGGAGGTATAGCATGTTTTGTTTCAACTTCAATCCTTGGTATATACAAGTACAGGTGAAACTCAAAAAATTAGAATATCGTGCAAAACTTCATTTATTTCAGTAATGCAACTTAAAAGGCGAAACTAATATATGAGATAGACTCATTACATGCAAAGCAAGATAGTTCAAGCCGTGATTTGTCATAATTGTGATGATTATGGCTTACAGCTCATGAAAACTCCAAATCCACAATCTCAGAAAATTAGAATATTACATGCAATCAATAAAACAAGATTGTACATAGAACAATATCGGACCTCTAAAAAGTATAAGCATGCATATGTACTCAGTATTTGGTTTGGGCCCCTTTTGGAGCAATTACTACTTCAATGTGGTGTGGCATGGAAGCTATCAGCCTGTGGCACTGCTGAGGTGTTAAGGAAGACCAGGATGCTTCAATAGCGGCCTTCAGCTCTTCTGCATTGTTCGGTCTCATGTCTCATCTTTCTCTTGGCAATGCCCCATAGATTCTCTATGGGGTTCAGGTTCAGGTTTGCTGGCCAATCAAGCACAGTAATCCCATGGTCATTGAACCAGGTTTTGATGCTTTTGGCAGTGTGGGCAGGTGCCAAGTCCTGCTGGAAAATGAAGTCAGCATCCCCAATAAAGCTCGTCTGCGGAAGGAAGCATGAAGTGCTCCAAAATCTCCTGGTAGACAGTTGCGTTGACCCTGGACTTAATGAAGCACAGTGGACCAACACCAGCAGATGACATGGCTCCCCAAATCAACACAGACTCTGGAAGCTTCACACTGGATTTCAAGCATCTTGCAGTGTGTGCCTCTCCATTCTTCCTCCAGACTCTGGGTCCCTGGTTTCCAAATGAGATGCAAAAGTTGCTCTCATCAGAAAAGAGGACTTTGGACCACTGAGCAGTTCTGTTTTTCTTTAGCCTAGGTAAGACGCTTCTGATGTTGTTCAGGAGCGGCTTGACAAGAGGAATATGACATTTGAAGCCCATGTCCAGGATTCGTCTGTGTGTGGTGGCTCTTGATGCACTGACTCCAGCCTCAGTCCACTCCTTGTGAAAGTCCCCAACACTTTTGAATGGTCTTTTCCTGACAATCCTCTCCAGGCTGCGGTCATCCCTGCTGCTTGTGCACCTTTTTCTTCCACACTTTTCCCTTCCACATAACTTTCTATTAATGTGCTTTGATACAGCACTTTGGGAACATTCAACTTCTTTTGCAATTACCTTTTGAGGCTTTCCCTCCTTATGGAGGGTGTCAATGATGGTTTTCTGCACAACTGTCAGGTCAGCAGTCTTTCCCATGATTGTGATTCCTACTGAACCAGACTGAGAGACCATTTAAAGGCTCAGGAACCCTTTGCAGGTGTTATGGCTTAATTAGCTGATTAGAGTGGGACACTTTGAGCCTAGAATGTTGAACCTTTTCACAATATTCTAATTTTCTGAGATTGTGGATTTGGGGTTTTCATGAGCTGTAAGCCATAATCATCTCGATTATGACAAATCATGGCTTGAACTATCTTGCGTTGCATGTAATGAGTCTATCTCATATATTAGTTTCACCTTTTAAGTTGCATTACTGAAATGAACTTTTGCACGATATTCTAATTTTTCAAGTTTAACCTGTAGTTCTCAAGTTATAGAGTTACGAATGTAGTTGAGTCTGCTTATTCCATTCATACCCCAAAGATTTGTGGGAGTGAATATCGTACCTTGAGCGGGATCACTCCCTCCTTTCACCCACACATTCGCTAATCAAATGTGAGGCTCATTAAGTGCACAAGAGATATTTCAGGGCGGGGAAGGCCATGGGGAGCCTACTGATAGAACAGGCCACCTGCCTAAGACCACCCAAGGCCTCCCCAACCCATTGAAATACCTCAGTTTCTTCCCCCCCAATCTGCCATGCTGGGTCACTTACCTTGTGAAGATCTAGCAAGCAGTCTCCTCTAGCCTCGTGCGCCCCTCTGCAGTTCTGTTTGGGCCTCGCCCAGCAAGTTGCTGGCTGAAATGGAGCTTCTGAGGACTGAATTCGGCCCTCCAATGCTATGTTTGGACCTCTGGGGCTCCCCGGCTCGTTGCAGGCCGAAATGGAGTTTCTTGGGGCCGGATCCAACCCTTGGAAGCTCCATTTTGGCTTCCAGTGGGCTGGGGGAGGCCCATGGAGGTCAAATAAAGCATCAGAGGGATTCACCCCTCAGAAGCTCCATTTCGACCTGCAATGGGCTGGGGAAGGCCAGTGGAGGGCCGAATGGAGCATTTAGAGGGCCGGATCCACCCCTCAGAAGCTCCATTTCGGCCGACAGTGTGCAGGATGAATGTTGCAGAGCAGTGCTTCATAAGGCCAAACAACTGCCGTGGTGCTGAAAGATTTGTAGTTTCGGGCCTTGTTCTCAAATGGTAGAGGGTGCTTATTGCATAACTTCGAATGTTCGCTAAGGGGATGCTTATAACCTGGGGATTACTTGTACAGTCCAAAAATTTCAGTACCGAGACCTGGGAAATAATGTGCTTGAGATGTTAGAGCATTATTGTGGTTCTGTGTATATAATGAGCTAGGTGGGTTACCTCCATATGCAATGTACTCTGAAAAGCAATAGGTAGGCGCTATGATAATTCATAATTCATTGGGTGTTGAAGCAAGCTTATTTGAAAGTTTCTCTTGATTTATAGTTTAGGATATGCTTACAAGATTTAGACATCCCTTTCCACCATAAACTAATTTGTTAAATTGATTTCGTACAAAGCATTGTTTCTCCATTCCGTGTCCATAATAACCTTGTGAAATAAAATAGGCAGAGAGAATAATTAGTTGAAAATCATGTAATCAGTTTTCATTGGTAAGTTGGAGCTTCTGCTTGAATCTTTCCAGTGATAAATTTCTGATTTAATTACTTGAGAAAGGGATATGAATAGCTGAGGCCTTGGGCATGATTCCTCTTGGACATTTGTGTGACTCCTCTTGGCCTTTTGTTCTTGGTATTCTCTATGTTTTATAGAGGAATTGAGAGAGCTGAAAAGGGTCAAGAGACATCTACAATGCCATTGTAGGAAGATGAAAAATGAATCCAATTATAAGTTAAGAGCCACTATTGAGGCCTACACTGTAGAGTTAAGGTAAGAGTGGAGAAATGACAGTATTTCTCCACTCTTACTGTATCCATAGAGTGCTTCCTGTTTAGGGTTTCCTAGATCCTCTTGGGTAAGGGAGCTTTTAAAGTTTGTCTTCAGGCTATACTTAAGAATTTTCAGTGCATCCGATAGATAAAATCTATCTGGATTTATTCTCAGTTGGAGACAAAGCATGGTGCATGTCCTTTGGAAATGACTGAGGAATGAATTTACCCAGTTATCTGGGAACACATTGATCCTCTTGGACCCTCAGAACTGTAAGTGTTGGCCCCCTATGAATTAGATCCATGTCCCTCCTGGTTGATTAAGGCTACCTGGGAGATGACATGTGGGTGGGCCCTAGTGATGTTTAATTCATCCTTGAGGGAGGGGATATTGCCGATGCTACTTAAAATCATGCTAGTGCACCTTCTCTTGATTGTGGCCACTTTTCTGGATATTTTTGTCGTCTCCCAACTTTCCTTTTTAAAAAAGGTGATCATGATACAGCTTTAGAGAATCCTGAATGATATAGATTGTTTGCACCACTTTTAGTCATGTTTTAAGCTCAGAAAAGGGACAGAAAGGACTTTGGTCATACTTTTGGATGATCTCTAGCAGGAACGGGATGGAAGTAGCTAATTCATCTGAATTCTTCACTTCTCGATAGCCTTTGATATCACCGCCCATGGTTTTCTTTCAGGTCAGCTTTGGAGGTGGGGAGGGGGGCACAATTTTATACTACTTCATATTCTCCCTCCAAGGCTAATTCCAGTTGGTACTGATAAGTCCAGCCTGCTGTTCCTGCTTAGTGGGGTACTGCAGGGCTTGGTGTCCTTTCTCCTCTTTTTAACATTTTTAACATGGAGCTACTAAATTATCCTTCACCATGAACTGACGTATCCAATTTGCAGATTCAGACTGAGGTATCATGCTTAATTCACCTAGGGTATATCTCTGTCCTGGGTAAATTAAGTGATATTGTGGATGCCCTTTTGGGCTGCCTGCTGTCGTCTGGATGGGAAACACAGGGCTTCAATTGAACCCCTGGTAAGATGAACTGGCTTTGAGTAGGAGGTTCCTGTGTATCTAGGGAGTTTACAACATGGGTCTTGGCTAAGTTTATCCTGTCCCAGATAGACAAGGTGTGTAATCTGGTGTCCTAGATCCATGACTCATAATGAAATAGGTGGCAGTTATGATTAGGAGGGCCTTTAGATTGACAGTCTAGGAAGACACACTTCTCTGCTGTTGCCCCTGTCCTGTGGACAGAGGTAAGATGGGTCTGCACTTTAGTAGCCTTTCAGAAGAACATCAAAACCTGACAACTGGCTCACAAATCTGAGAGCAACTTACAATCCTGGGAGTGGTTGATGGCTTCAGGACAGTCCCAGCTTTTTAACATGTTAACTTTTGTTTTTATCTATGTTTCTTTTCTATGACTATGTGGCTTTCATTTATAAACTACCCTGAGATAGGTAGTGTATAAATTTGATAAATATTGCAATTGATTATAGGCACTTTGGAAAATGAATTGCTAATTGCTAAATGGTACTAAAGCTGATTTTTAATGAGGCACATCATTACTTCTCCAAAGCAATGTTTTAAACTCATAGCCAACTTTCCATGCCTATGTGCGCTTATGTTTGGTTTCATTGAATAAGAATGGAAGCTGCCTAAAGGGTGGGGTGCAGCATACTGCATAAAGTCCCTGCTTCATTCTTTGAACTTGGAACTCTTGTATATCCCCCATTAATCTTAAGTTCTCTTATACAGGGTGTGCTATTGTATGGACCCCCTGGTACTGGGAAAACTTTGCTGGCCCGGGCTGTGGCTCATCACACTGACTGTACTTTCATCCGTGTCTCTGGCTCTGAACTTGTGCAAAAATTCATTGGAGAAGGTAACTTTTGGAAAAGGATTTTGTGGTTTCAAATTTTAATTTAATTTATTCAATTTATGCATTGCCCAACTTCCATCACTAAACAAGGTAGTTGAGTGAACTACACACAATTTATGACCATTTTGCTGCAGTTGTTAAGTGAATCCAGTTTACTTTATTGATTTTACTTGTCCCTGGAAAGTTGCAAATGGTAGTCACATGACCATAGGATACTGCAAATGTAAATAAATGATGGCTGCCAAATATCCAGATTTCAATCACATGAGCCTAGATGTTGAAATGGTTGTAACAGCACATACTGGTCACAAGTCACTTTTTTCAGCACCATCATAACTTTGAATGATTCTAAGTCAAGAACTACTTATAATTGGTCCCTTGAATTGCACCTAGAAGCAGACTGGTAACCAGTGCAACTAGTGGAGCAGAGTTGTCACAGGGATATATTGAAGCATGCATATTACTTTCCATGCTTCTGAATTCTAGGCCAGTTGAAGCTTCTGGATGGTGTTCAAGAATAGCTCTGTGCATTGCAGTATTTAAGCAGTCTTTTCCAGGAGATGCACTTCAGCAATATAGTAATCATGTGAAATCCAGAGTTAAAAAAAGATGCCTTGGAAAGGAATTCAGGGATAGAAAATGGAATTAAAATTAGAACTGCAGCAAAATATTTAAAAGAATCCATGTTAGTGGAGGGATTAATGGAATTTGCTCTTCCAACCAGGGGCATACTGTGGTCATTTCAGCGGCTATGTTTGATTTATGGTGACAGGTGCACGAATGGTACGTGAGCTGTTTGTTATGGCACGGGAGCATGCTCCTTCCATCATCTTCATGGATGAGATAGACTCCATTGGTTCTTCTCGCTTGGAAGGTGGATCTGGTGGGGACAGTGAAGTTCAGCGTACAATGTTGGAATTGCTCAACCAGCTTGATGGTTTTGAAGCTACTAAGAACATCAAGGTATGTTGAGATAGGTGTAACATCATAAGTGTGTTCACCGATTCTGCTGTAGTAGAATTTTTAAAATCTTGGTTATATGACAAAGTCATTGGGACCTCAGGCATACAGTTCAGACTTTTGGAAGATTTTACAAATTACGACAAGCCAAAATGAAAGTAATGTTTTTTTTAATCTAATGAAGGATTCAGGGGGTTAAGTCTTTTTTATTATGTTTTGCTTTTCTTGACACAGTTTGATTTTTTTTCCTTAGTGGCAGAAACATTTTTAGTCTTATATAGTTGCATATATGACTATAAAGTTATGCCACCAGTAAAAATAAAGAAGGGATGAATAAAAAGAATTTGGGTAGAGGAGGTTAGTTATATAAGAGAGATTTGTAATAGATATCTCAAAAGACACACTTTTTAGGCTTGGGAGTGGGATAGGATAAATATAAACATACCTGAATACATTAACTAGAATATTGACTGCAGTTCAGTAACTATCTTTTTACAGGTAATTATGGCAACCAATCGCATAGACATCTTGGATTCAGCACTGCTTCGTCCTGGCCGCATTGATAGAAAAATTGAATTCCCACCTCCAAATGAAGAGGTAACACTGGGGCAGCTTTTCGCATGCTTATAATAGACTTTCTCCAATAAGGAGATGCTGAAGAGAGAATGTCCATCAACTGTACTGTATTGCACTTTCTATACTGTTTTGGCTCTCCTTTTTGATTCCAATAGGCTCGTCTAGACATCCTGAAGATTCACTCTCGTAAGATGAATCTGACAAGAGGAATCAATCTACGGAAGATTGCAGAACTAATGCCGGGGGCTTCTGGGGCTGAGGTCAAGGTAATGGAGAAATTCTGATTTAAAGGGATGTCAGATCAGCTGCTGTACCTTTTAAAGTGAATGATTTTTTTAAAAAGTCATTGAGTATTAGAAATATACGAGGATATAGTTTTTCAACTTAGTTTTGCACTTGTGAATAGAAGGGATATTGGCAAATATTTTCCTGATATTTTTATGCTCTTCAAATGTTATTTTGCCATTCTGCTGTGCTAAACTGTTTTTCAACACTGAAGAGACCATTATTTGCATGGTTCTTTTTTATGATAGGTGAAAATGAATATTGGTGTTAAAGCATATAATGTTTCAAAAGAAGTACTTCCAAGAATTAGTGCTTGAATTAAAATTAGCACTTTATGCATATATATGATTTAAAAATCTCCACTCTCAGCATTAGGAACAATTGTATTGTTTTTAGATAAGGCAAAAGATGGTCTGGCTGAGCTCTATGTTCACTTGATATTTGAATGGAACAAGACATAGGTATATTGTACAAACTTGTGTTGCAGGGTGTATGTACAGAGGCTGGAATGTATGCATTGAGAGAGAGGAGAGTACACGTAACTCAAGAAGACTTTGAAATGGCTGTAGCAAAGGTACTGTTGATGATTGATATGAGACAAGAGAAATACCCAAATATACAGCTGACTTCCCTAACAAGTTTTCTTATATATTGAATTGTAATGCTTTTAATTTTGATTCAGAATATCCACTGGGCATGCTAATTGTGATAGAAGTATCCCTGAACTTACGATGACAATTAGGATTGGAATTTCTGACAATAAGTGATAAGGTCATAAAACACAGTTGCATCACTTAATGATGGCAATCTCTGCAGTTCTGGCTGCCATTGTTAACTGAATCCTGTAGTAGTCATTAGGCAAGGCAACCATGGGAAACCAGCAGACAATTGTAATTCCTAGACTGGCAGGCACAAAAGAAGGTGGAAGAGAGAGTATAAGAGGCACACACAGGGAAAGTTAACGATGGTGAGTTGTTGGGTGGGTCAGGGAAGTGCACAAGAAGCATGAGATAGGTCAGGGAGATTGCAAGGGGATATATTTGCCTTCAAGAAATGTAGATCAAGGACGATTTGCACAAGCAACACGGGTCAGGTGCAGGAGGGGATGTGAGAGGCACAGGTCACTGATTGTGCAAATGGCCAGTACAAGCATAGAAGGGCTATGGAGAATGAACGGATAAGAGATACTTACCAAGCAACTTTTGATCTTCTCTGCTGGCTTCTCCATAAATTTCTGTGGAAGCCAGCATGGTATGTTGCAAATGATGAGCATACAATCAGTTTTAAGTGTGAATTAGTTGCCAACTGCCCAGATCAGTCACATGATCACAGGGGTGCTGGGAAAGCTGGAACTAACAAGTCATAACCACATTTGTTCAGTGCCATCATAACTTTGAATGCTGAATAATTAATTAGGATGACTATTAAAATTGTAACTGGGTACAACTTGTGGTTAAGAGTGACTAAACCAGAACTGCTTTTTCCAGAGAAGCTGTAGCATGTAATAGTGGAGTTCTCAAAAGTTGAATTATTTGAAGTCTGATATTTAACTGGATAGGTGAGTGATAGCAGACTTATATCAAAAACTCCTGCATTTTTATTAAAATAGGATAATGAAGGTAACTTGAAGGTAAAATTTTATCATGGAATTAAGAAGTTGAGAGGGGTTTTTTGGTCAGGAAGAGATAATATGTATGGATTTAAATAGCCAACCTAGTGGTAGAAGAAAGCTTTTAAGAAGCTGAAATTTATATTTTACTTTATGCTTTGTTTCTAATGCTGCTTTTCCCTTGGCAGGTTATGCAAAAAGACAGTGAGAAGAACATGTCTATCAAGAAGCTCTGGAAGTAGTAAAAAATTGCTGCTGTTTCGTCAAATTACTTCCCATTATGTCATTTACTTGTTTTTCATGTAATAAAATAACATAAATGATCATAAGTGGTGGAGGGGAAAAGGGTGTTTTTTTTTAAATAATTTGTTCAGTTTTCAGCAATGAAATTAATTACACGTTTTCTGTTAACATTTTAGGAGATGAGGTCCTCCTAAAAGCCTAGTTAAGTCTGTAGTGACATGTCTTTGAAACTGCATTTTCAGTTCTGTTTTCAAGATTTTGTACTTCTAATTTGTATTAGATATGTGTGCAACTTGATCAAGAACTGAATATTCTGTATCACTCTGCTATTTCATGCTACTTCATGACAATTCTGAAAGCAATTCTTCCAAACCAGACTAATGTAGAAAACAAGAAGTCTGTTCCTGGGTTGAAAAATTTTGTGCATCCCTAATATCTTTGTACCTATCAAATGGTGGTAAATATATTGAAATTGTCATAATAATTTTAAAGTAAAGGGGAGGAAAACTGCTTAGGGGAAAAAATTACAATTGGTGATAATAAAAAACTCATTCAAATCTTGTTAAAGGCCCCTCATTAGCTTATTTTGATGTCTTCAAAGCAAGAACTGGAATTGCATCTGTGAATAGAAACAGTTAACTAAATAGGTTCCTTTGCTTTGTGAAGTGAAAATTGTACCATAACAAAAATTTAACTAAATACTGCTGTGAATTTTTGGAAGTAATTCTGCTAATTAAACATTGTAATTTTGAGATAGAGAACCTGCTTTCCCCATCCTGTTCCCGCTCCCCTCCAATAAACGAAGCAGTTGCAACTACCAGTATTTATTGGGCTGTTTTTGTTAAGATACAAGTTTTTGTGTGCAGTAAATCAGGACATGCAATTGTTGGGAGCTTAAGAACTAAGTTTAGTGGACTCATATCAAAATCTAAGCTTTCAGGGAAGAGACTTCTTAAGGTATCTTGAACTTTGTGGTCAAAATAGTAATAATAAAAGTTTCATGTTTGGACCATTGTACAAATGCGGGTGAGATTCTAATGTGTTACTGAACCACTTTGGAACTGATCTTTTTAACAAGTTCAAAGTAGCCTTACTACATTCAAAATCAACTGGATATGTGTTGCAATCAGGCACAAAACTAGATGACTTCATGTACTCAATACAGTTGGAATAGTTTCTGAAGATGGTGTTTGATTTCGTTGTATGAGGTGCAATGACAGTAAAGTTTCCTTTTGAACATTCTGCATATGAAAAATAATTTTGCAGTCAACATCTGGAGACCCCCAACTCCCAGGCCATGGCCCACTACTGGGCTATAAACCATTTGGAACCGGGCCGTGGAAGTGATGTGTGAGCATGCACGTGCACATCCCCACTTGTATAAGCAACAGGCAAGCATGCGTGGGCCATTTGTGAGAGCACATATGGAGTGCATGTGCGCTCTTGCTAGCCACTTGCATGGAACCATCCCCTCCCCCCTGCCAGTCCAGGCACAAAACTAGATGCTGGAAAGGTTGGGGAACTCTAGTCCACATAGGTCACAGTGCTGCTCAAGGGATATGCAGTGTAACCTCATGTCTTAATATATAGTATGCTACTTATCTTTCATTAAAGCCGTTTCCATTTAACAAACTAGTTAGTGTAACACATGCTTTAATCAATGCCTCCAACATCCTAAGGAACCAAAAAATGATTTTTAATGCCAGTTGTTGCTAAAATGTATTTTTATTTTTAAAAAATTAACATAGAAATTGATAACATACTTGCTTATAGATAAACATTCCATCAGCTTCTACTTAGCCAAACTATATCAAGGGGCAGGCCTGGAAGCAGGGAGATAATCTTTGGAAGATTTAAGTGCTGAGGGCCTAAAAGCCTGGAAAATGAAGGCACTTGAAGTTAGAGAGGGTTGAGGAAAATCATTTCTTATATCTTTTGGCTGGTAGCCCCAGGAGTATTTCCTCCAGCATTGTAACCTTTTTATAAAATACACTCTCCACTGTTCTAAATCACACACGCACATATATATTAATAGGAAATGAATGTTATTAACAGCATAGCAACATCTGAGCACCCAAACCCCCTCCCCTTTTGATACTGTGGAATATCAGTTGCATAGGGAGGAATAAAGGCCACCACCAACGTTAAACTTTCTACAGGAAACAAAACTCTACCCCAGCCAAACACAAAAGATATAGTGCAAAGATTAAATGCCAGCAAAACTGGCAGGAATGGACACAAGCTTTGGTTAAAAGTGAGCAGAAGGTTCCTGCATTGCAAGACTAAAAGCTCTGCTAAGAGGTAGAAGCAACTCGAAATAAAATTTCCCAGTGCCCCAAAGGCAAAGCACACATGAAGGGCAAGTTCTGGGGAGGGAGAAGAGCTTCCTTCTCTGCTGAAGGATGCCTTATATGAGTCCATGGAGAGTACTGAATACATACTATGCAATGGCAGCAGAATCCTCCCCACCTTCCAAGGGGAAAGGACAAGGACTGTCTGTCTATTGGTCCATTCCAAAGTACCAGGAAGTGTGGAAGAACTGCAAAAGAAGGCAAGCACTAAGTAAGGCGAACACCAAGCACTTGTTCCAGTTCTTGTCTGCGCTGCTGAACCTGAAAGACAGAAAACCATTATATAGATGAGAGCCACAAATAGAACAAGCACAAGATACGTATTTGGCTCCTTCCTTAACGTGCTCTGTCATTTTAGGATAAATTATCTCAGTGTCACCAAATATAATATTGGACAGAAAATACAATTGTTTCATCAATAATTGCTGGGGAAAGTTGTTATGTACTTCTACAAAGGAATTCCATGGAGAGAAAAAATAGGTTGAATGTAAGAAGGAAAGCACCTTAATCAGCTTTGAAGTCTGCACTGAAAGAATGACTGCAGTTTGAAGACTGCACTGCATTAATAATACAGTTCTATGTTCACTCTGTCTTCATGTTGAAGTTAGGAAAAAATGTTAGATTTTTTTTTTAAGTAACACTGAATTATGTTCTACCTTTGCAAAGATGTGTCGTCCAACAGCTTCTTGCATCCATGGCTGCTGATAGAAATCAGCCCGTCTCTCTTCTTCTGGATTTCCAGCCACATCTGTGATAATCTACGGCAAAATGGAGGTATGGAAAAAGGAATTGTGGAACATTTAATGTTACGTTCCAAAATAGAACTCCACTGAGACTTAGTCATACTGAAATTTAGCTAGTTAATATAAAGAAAGGTAGGCACTGATATACCTAGATTATATTGCACCATATAAATATTATTATAGCCCAGTAATGTATTAATATTGGATAGTCAGATACATTTGAAGAATACATAAATATGTTATTTCTATTTTATTTCTTCCTTCCCATTTAAAATGCATCTTTCCCAGTCAATGGAATAAATTATCTACTTTGTATATTTTCTTTTCTTCAAGATATGAAAAAACTCAGGGGAAGGAAGGATTACTTCAACCCTCATATAAGAGTGGGATCAACAAACATGTAAACAAAAAGGGAACTTATTTCTATCCATGTAGCATGCATTTCAAAATGTATGAGTAACTGACAAATAATGTCAGCTGTCAAATAATGGACAGTAAAAGCCAAATTATGGAAGTGTTCTAGCAATTCCATGATTTAATTCAATGTTGCTTACTGGGTATTCATGTATGGAGTTATTTACCCCTGCATAAATCCTCCCTAGTCATCCAAATACTTACCTTCAAATCCCTCTGTTGAGATCTGATCCACTCCTGAATAAAATCCTGAGGATTATTACTAAAACTCAGCATAAAATCTCGTTGTGTCTTCAATTGATTAATAGATTCGATTGTTTCATGAATCTGTATAAAAATACAAAAAGTGCCTTATGAAAAAGAGCAGAATTAACTCAATTAACTTAAAATTAATAACTGAAGTCTGGAAACATTAAAATTAAATTAAAATTATGTGTCAGCGTTCCAAGGCTGACATTATGTTAATAATGTGGGCCCAAGATTTGGAGGGATATCTAGTGCCTAGAACAAACAAGTAATGACTATCAATCAATAGTCTTCAAATCCTGCAACACTATATAGCACCAGCTGTTATTTTAAATCAATGCATTTTATAAAGATTCTGGAGCAGGAAACAAGCAGGAAAAAGGAATAGAGACATAAATACAATACTGAGCAATGTGAATGGAAGATGTGAGAACACTAACTTCCTATTGTCCTTAGACAACATGGTGAGTAGGAAAGATTAAAGAGAAAGAATACAAATTATTTTTACTTCTTTTTCTAATTTTGATTTTTTTTCTTTGCTTTCTTTGTACTGTCATAATTTTTAAATGCCAAGTGAGGCACAGAATTTACTCACCCCTTTACTGATGCTTATCTAAGTTCAACTAACAGGAAGATAACAGAAATTGAAGTTTTGAAAATCAACTTAAAGGGAAAGAAAGACACATGGCATGCAATGTAAATCAGGCACTAAATTCTTACACTTCCTTTGTTTGGATTTTTATAATTAAAGATATAAAATATTACACACACACACACACACGTGTGTGTGTGTGTGTAAAATAATTCTAATTTTAATGTTTTTCTTTCTTTTTCTTTCTGCCACTAATTCCCAAAAAGGTTCTAAGTTGCTTAAAACAATGCTGAAGTAAAATAGAATTAAAAGAAACCTGAAAAACAATAATTGCCTATTTCAAGGAAGAGACTTCTGACATCATTATTCCCCAGAAAACCTCTGGGGATTGATAGTGCAGTAGACCCACTCCCTGAGATAGGTAATTAATACTTTGTGTTTTGGTTACTTGCAAGCTGCTTATAATCTCTTTTGTAACTGAATAGGATTTGAATTGCAGAAATAAAATAAAAAAGTAATATTGCACCACTAAAAATATGTCACAAATTGTGGCAAAGAGACTTCAAAAGTGGGATTGTTTGTTTCCACTTCCCTGTTCTAGTTTAAAATCCTCTATTTATTCATCTGCTGTTCCTGAGACACTTTAGTGGGCAGTTTGTTTGTTTTTCATTCTCAAACATAGAGAAAACACCCCATATAAGAAAGTTTTCCATGACAAGTATGATTTTATGAACGCTGTTGGAGTAACTAGACCTTCTTAAAGGAGTTGTGTGCAAATATACTATCATACACACTACATTAATCCACAAGCTAGGAAAGGTTAGTCTTTTTCCTCCCACACAGTTGATAATGTGCTACCTTGATATCCAGGGAAGCAATTTCTTGTTGGTTAGTGGTGGAGGCCAAGAAGTTGCTCATTTGGGCTTTCAAGGGGTCATCTACTTCCACATCAATGTCATAACAGGCTGTTTTCTTTTGATCATTAGGGTCCACACTAGACAAGTCAAGACAGGAGGGTTTGTTAAGAGGCGAGAAGTATCTTTCTTGAAGTTATGCCTTCACCATCACGTCCTACAGATTAGTATAAGGATTAGTTACTCTCTTTCACTACCTCAGTAGCCTTCTAAAGAGGTGATGCAAATCTGAAATGTAAGTGTTCCTTACACCAAATAGGATGTGCAAATTGGAGCAGCTCCAAGAATTGTAATATTTGGATATGCATCACAAAATATTTTGTTTAAAATATGTAAATACTGCCTTTCCTGCTCTCCTGTGGTGGAACCTCTGTCTGAAGGGGAGGAGGCCCTGATGGGATACTTAAAAGACATTCCAGCTTAGAGTCCATTTGGAAGAAGAAATGTTTGAAGTCAAATCCACCAGGGTAAAGCAATAGACGCAATTTACATAGACTTCTGCAAAGCCTTTGATTCAGTGGTACATGACAAACTATTGTTAAAACTAAACTCTTACGGCATTTCCAGATCCCTTCATAAGTGGATTATGCATTCCTGTCAAACAGGCAACAAATAGTAAAAATAGAGAGCGCTATATCAAACCCTGCTCCAGTTAACAGTGGTGTCCCCCAAAGTAGTGTTCTAGGACCCACACTCTTTATACTCTATATAAATGACCTTTGCGATAACCTTATAAGCACCTTATAACACCACCGACAATGCAACTGTTCTTCAAAGTGACCTTGATTATGTGTCTGAATGGTCAAACAATTGGCAACTCCAAATCTTGACCAACAAATTCTGTGTCCTACACATTGGTAAAAAAAATCAGTATACCAAATACAAGCTAGGCGGATATGACTTCGTTGATGACCCTCACTCTGTCAAGGACCTCGGAGTACTCATTTCTAATGACCTAAGCACCAGAGCTCACTGTAACAGCATTGCCAAAAAGGCATTAAGAGTTGTAAATCTAATCTTACGAACTTTCTTCTCTGGAAATATTGAATTGCTAACTAGGGCATACAAAACCTTTGCTAGACCAATACTCAAATACAGCTCATCTGTCTGGAATCTGCACTGTATATCAGACATTAATACAATTGAGTGAGTCCAGAAGTATTTCACAAGAAGAGTACTACACTGCTCTGCTCGCAACAAAATACCCTGTATCACCAGACTTGAAATTTTGGGCTTGGACAATCTTGAACTACGCAACCTACGGTTGGACTTAAGCGTAGTACACAAAATTATCCGCTACAATGTCTTACCAGTCAATGACTACTTCAGCTACAATCGCTACAATACAAGAGCACACAACAGATACAAACTCAATGTTAACTGCTCCAAACTTGATTGCAGAAAGGACTTCAGCAACAGAGTGGTCAATGCCTGGAATGCACTGCCTGACTCTGTTGTTACATCCTCAAACCCCCACTCCTTTAACCTCAAACTATCCACTATTGACCTCACCTCATTCCTAAGAGGTCTGTAAGGGGTGTGCATAAGTGCACCATCGTGCCTCCTGTCCCTGTCTTATTGTCCCCATTTATTCATACCTACTTCCTGTATTCTTACTCATGTTTCTACTTGTACCTATTATCTTGTAAGTGATTGACAAATCAAATAAATAAAATAAAATAAAATAAATATATCTGCTGTTTCCCAAAGGAAGGCAGATTGTCTGGTGAGACTGGTGATCAACAATAAAAATATATATTTGATTCTTTCTCAGGGCTATTCTAATTGCATTCACCTGATAGCTCAGGAGAATTTGCAAATGCAAAAGGATTATAACAAAACTAGATAACAGTAAACAGAATTTCACAATCAGAATAAAATAAAACATGAAACAGCTTTCTTTTAAAATTAGATAACTCAAGAGAGACCTTGAAATTCAAAAGGTTACTAATGGAATAATAATACAGATATAAATAAGGATACATTTCTCCAGATATAAGAAATGTTTCCTAGATAAGCAGTGATAGTATTCTAATTGTTCAGATTAAACATCTTCTCTATCTTCAATTTATAAAGCGTTTTATTTTAATAGGAATTTCTATGAAACACACTATTTCTAAATGAGAACTTAGAAAGCATACAGCTTGTCAAAGACCCAGTGTGGAGGTAAGATTCCAGAAAGCTCTCCAAACACAATTTTTAATTAATAAATGTGGGTATTACGTATATGGATACAGTTAGGTATCAACCGTGGGTATAATTAGGTTGCCCTAATAATTTCTCTTATAATATCAATCTTACCTGATAACGTGATTGATAACAATGGGATCTGGGTGTTGTAAGAGTCCTGCCAGTTTCATTGGAATCTCAGAAAATCTCATACGGCTGCAATTGAAGATCTAAAATGAAGCAAGAAGACAAACCTTAGTAATCCCAAAGGAATAGGTGGAGAAATAGGTGGGCTAAAAGTCAACCAATGGGACGTTCTAATTGTAAAATTAGATATGTCAGTTCTATACTTTGATAAACACCAATGTACAGGTAGTCCTTGACTTATAACCACAATTGAGACCAAAATTGCTATTGCTTAGTGAGACATTTGTTAAATGAGTTTTGCCCCATTTAACAAACTTTCTTGCCACAGTTGTTTAGTGAATCACTGCAGCTGTTAAATTACTGACTTTGCTCGTCAGAAAGTTGCCGAAGGACACAGCAACCATCATAAACATGAGTCAGTTGTCAAGAGTCTGAATTTTAATCATGTGACCAAAAGGATGCTGCAATGGTCACAAGTGTGAAAAACGGTCTTGTCACTTTTTTCAGTGCTGTTGTTTAACTCTGAACTAAATGAATTGGTGTAAATCGAGGACTACATGTACTGGTGTTTTTTTTTCTTCCAAAATCTAAATATCCATTTGTGTACCTACTCTTGGTGAATTACTGTTATAGTTTACAATCTGCCTGATTGGATCTTGCAGAATCAATGCTCCGGGCTCCTTCAATTAACAACGTCCTCCATCAGGACCCTGAAATATACCTTCTCTATAGCAAGTATCTATCCTCAGGAATGAAGCCTGGATTCTTCTGTGATTTGGAAGAGCCCTGAACACCTGGGTCTTCCCCCTGGCCTTCCCCCAGAGGGACCCCCTGCTTCATTTCCATCCAATCTGTCATTCTTTCCACTTTCCACTCTTTTTTTTTTGTCTATTTTCTATCTTTTAGTTGGTTTTCTTTGTTTTGATGGTTCTGAGCCAGCCAGTCATTGGGCACTGGCAGCATGCATGTACAATAATAACAGCAGCAATAATGTGAACTGATTAACAAAATACTGGACTTCCAATTATTTTTAAACAATATAATTAAAAGTTATCTGAAGAGAGTCTGACAGTCTAGTTTGTTAGTGTATTAGCTCTTCAAGCTTGCAAGATTGAAAATCTGCAATGTATTATGCTTCCGTTACACTATTTTCAAATGGATGAGAATAGAACTAACCAAAGGATACAAACTTGGGAAGATATAACAGATACAAAATCAGGAACTGAGAATCAGAATTATGTGTAAACTGAAATTCCAGTTCCCAAACACGAAAATTGCTCAGCCCCAGGGCTTCCAATTTTATTTCTTGAATATACTTGCTAATAGTTAATGTTCATATTATGCACATGTGCAAAAGATCATATACAACACAAGAAATACATACTCAACACTATGGTATGATGGATTACAGACTATTGATCAGCTTGTAGTTAGGACTGATAATGAGTGAAGCTAAATTAAGGTGGTTTGTGAAAACCCTCTTCACTTAATATCCTGAACAGCAGAGACATACTGACCTGGCGAAAGTAGCGGTTGCAATTGATATATTCTTTCTCATGACAGTCCTGAAGTTTGTTATATTTGATATAAAGCCACAGGGCCTGCATTATGCTGGCACGAGTTTGGGTATGGACACCAAGTAGGCGAGCCAGACGTGGATCTAGCTTGTACTGAGGAGGCTGAAATGACAATGTTGCTTAATTAACATATGTGCAATTAATATATGTGCTGCCTTATCAATTTTGCAATCCCAGCCCTCTTTTCAATTTTTAATCTATTTTCTCTAAAATATGAAAGCTTCTGATCAATTATATAGAGAACAAGAGAACAACACAGTATAGTATTAACTCTAAGCTTCCTTAAAAGGAAATAAAAATGCAACTTTATAATTATCTTTATCAAATGAGCCACAATTTACAATGGAGAGCAAGTCCAAAAAGAAAATGGTGAACTTCTGGAGGCAAGTAGGAAACTCGAGTTGTACAATTTTGTTCCAGGTAGAGAAACTGAATGTTTCAGATAATGAACTATTGAAAAAGATGCCTCTGGGCCAAGATCTATTTATCTTCTTTCTAGTAAAGCAGGCGTTCCTAAATCTTTCTAGTAAAGCAGGACTTCCTAAATATCCGGGAAGATACTGGAAAAGATAATAAAAAAAACAGATCTGCCAACATCTAGAAACAAGTAAAGTAATAACTAGCAGTCAGCACGGGTTTGTTAAGAACAGATCATACCAAACTAATCTTATTTCATTCTTCAACAAAGTGACTAAATTAGTAGACCAGCAAAATACTCTGGACATAATATATTTAGATTTCAGCAAGGCATTCAACAAAGTAGACCACAACCTACTTCTTAGTAAGCTAGAAAAAAGTGGAATATATAGTACCACCACTAGATGGACTCGCAATTGGCTGACAAACTGTACTCAACGAGTAGTCCTTAATGGGTCTAAGTCTACATGGAGGGAAGTAAGCAGTGGGGTGCCACAAGGTTCCGTCTTAGGGCCAGTATTCTTCAATATCTTCATTAATGACTTAGATGAGGGAATAGAAGGGGAACTTTCCAAATTTGCAGATGATACTAAGCAGACAGGAATAGCTAACAGCCAAGAAGATAGGCTCAAGACCCAGATGGATCTTGACATACTAGAACAGCGGTTGCCAAACGGTAGGCCGTGAGAAAATTTTGGTGGGCCGCAGAGAAATCTCACCCCCAGAGCAGCCCCCAAAGCAATTAATCCAGGCTGCACAGAAACACAAGGCTGCGCCGCCCACATGGCCCGCGGGAACCCTCCCCGCCCACTCACTCTTTACCCGGCAACTTGCCTGCTAAATTGCTATTTTTCATTTTTCTGACCATCATCTGTTCTGCTGTGCCAGGAGATTTAGATTAGCTAGGAAGCAGGAAATGGTTGGATTTCTTGCTTTCTAGCTAGTCTTTAGATGTTTGGCTCTGCTTTTAAGCACAACCGAACCTCCCTTAGGACTGAAGTTTCTATTATTCAATGCAGACTCACGGCAAGCAAATTTGAGAGACTGAGCTAACCGATGGCAGATCACTGAATGATTCTGTGAGCAACTCAATCTGCCTGCCTGCTTTGCCTGAATTTGGGTAAAATTTGCTCTTTTTTTAAATAAAAAATTCAATATTTATATAAATATTTATAATATTTACACACAAGCCATGGCTAGCCAGTCACATGACCACCAAGCCCACAAATTAGGCCACGCCCACAGAACTGGTTAGTGGTCCCTGGGATTTAAAATTATGAGTTTGGCGGTCCCTGAGGTCCAAAAGATTGGCGATCCCTGGACCCCTGACCTACAAGATCCCTTCCAACCCTGATTATCTGTTATCTTTTGCTACCTTATCTCTCTTTAGTGTAATTTCAATAGACACACTTTCCTTAAATATCCAAGGACCAAAATGAATACAAACGAACAATGAGAATAATACAATGAAACTACGGAAATGTGGGTTTATTGCAATAATAAAAGGTTCTTCATACTTTCTCAGGACTCTATTTGCCTTTCCCTAAGAAGGTAAATCTCAGAGTTTGGGAAGTCCTGACGTAGAGCATTGCAATTGGTGTGCTCTGGCAATTTGCCTTCTTACCTGATGATCCAGCATGAGAAGCAGAGTGCATTTTACATTCACATCACCAGGGCGCTTCACTTGAAAGCCATCTGTCTCTTGGGTTGTTGGCATCCGGTGCCACTAAAGGTAAGGTAAGGTAAAAAAAAAAAAAGGTATATGTAACAGGACTCTTTAGTGCAAAACAAGGGAAAAGTTAAAACAACTTAATCTCCCATACAGTATCTTACATGAGAATATTTAGCTTCCAGATTACTGGCTCACTGCATAGTTTTGTAATGGATGGAAATTTGAATCTTCTGCCATAATTAAGACAAAATATCTTTAGTCACTTCAAAATATAGTTCAGGTAATAGCCTTCTCTATACTGCATACCAGTCCATTTCTGGTGCATGCACCATTTTGGGGGGGTGGGGGGGTTAAAATCGACACTTGGACTTTAAGCATAACCAAAAGTTGATGGGAGTCATGAAGATGCCAGTCAACATGGAAGGAATCGTAAGTCTAATTTGCCTACATTATTGACTAATATATTTTAGTTAAGCATTTTTATAATCAGCTTGAATAAACAATGAACTTAAATTATTTCAAACTGTGCTAAATTTAGTAATAAAAGCTAAATCCATGTAATAAAATTAATCAACAGAACTTCAAATTTAACAAGCATAACAGTAAAAAAAAAGGGTGGGTGGAAATTATAAATAGAACATTTTCAATACCTTTGGTCTAACAGTGTAAAAGTTTGAATGTAAAATTATAGTGGTTCTAATAGAAGCAAAGTCCTTATGTCAATTTCTTAGCCATGGATCTAAGTTCAACATGAAGCGTGTAAATGCTGTGAGCTGTCTATTTTATTTATATATTTTATATATATATCAAGATACTGACCTCCACCAGGTGATTGTCTGGTCCATATAATTCTTTGTCTAGTTCAATAACCAAGCTCTTGAAAAAGGATGAGAATTTTCTCTTCTGTTTACTTGGCTGTGGCAGAAAGACAAATGAGAAACTGAGCTTTACTATTCTCACAATCACTTTAGAAAAAACACTTGTCAAAAACATTTCACTAAATGAGGGATAAGTAAATGATGCCCCCTTTATTATTTGTAACACAATATTATACTAATTCTACAATATTTATCACCATTACAAGTCATAGATACTCTGAGCAGTTTAAAATAAGCAGTAAATTAAGGAACAATTTAATCTAATGGTTAAGGAACTGGAGTGAGCAAACTGAAGTTCTAATTCTGCCTTAGACATGGAAGCTAATTGTGTGACTGGGGCAGTTAGTTTCTCTCAGCCTTAGGAAAAAGGCTATGGCAAACCATAGCCTTTTGGAAAATCTTGCCAACAAAACTTCATGGATTTGTCCAGCCAGTAAACAGGAGTCAATAATGACTCAAAGGCATAAATATATGTATTTTGGGTAAGACAGCAAATGGGAAAAAAACAGTTATTCTTCAAAAATGATAGATCATTTCAGCATTTAAATTAGATATATTAAGCCTGATCTCAAGAATTCTAATTTAATTGGACATTGTAGTAAGCAGAAACTGAATTAGACTAGCCTTTGGTCTGGCCCAGCAACACCCTTAAACATAAATTACTGCTTAAAGACACATAATGTCTTTAGTATATGAAAATTAATAAAGGATTAGTCAACAGTTAAATGAAGCAATAGGTTAGCTGCCTGATGCAAGACCTGTTTAATGGGTGAATAGGAAACAGGGCAGTTATCCAGAGGAAACACACATTTGTCATCTTCTATCTGCCACAAAGTTATCTCTTAACAAAGAAATTTCATTCTTACATCATCAAGAAGTTTGCCTTCCACACGAAGTTCCCACGAGGCTATACGCTCACCACCCTCAGACTCCTCTTTGCCAGGAGTAAATGTATTAGAGATGTAAATACGCAGCTTCCGCTTTTGCTGAAGATTTAGAGGAAAACATTAACTGTAAACAGCAAAGAAATCATCATACATCATACAAATCCACAAACCAGTTTTATGGTTTTGACCTTTTTCCCCAAGATAACTTAAAACAGCAAAATTAGTCACAATTGTGGATTCAGAGTGCCTCTAACAGGGCTTTAGCTGATCATCTCTCTATCATGCCCTGATACCGTCAAAGGTTTCTTGATTGCCTCTTGGATTTCCATTCTTTTGCGGGCAATTGTCTGGTCCAGCTTGCGTTCAAAGGCCAGTAAATCCATGTAGGCCTGAGACTCAGGAACTAATTCACGAATCTACAGAAAAAAAATGGATTATTAGATAGTTATCTAAAAAATGTTATCACATTTTCTAGGCTTTAAAAAATATATGTAAGGTGAATGTCAATTAGTATTGTCCAGGATTGTGATCCCCCAGTATGCAGACAGGGCTTTCTATTTTTTTCTGCCATTGGGAAAAAATAATGTAACTTTGCCTTAATTTAGAAAAGAATAAATGTACCTCAACCTGGAAGGTAATTGTGAATATAACCAGCACAGAAATCTCTTTGTAAATTAAAAGTGATTTAATAGTTTGCTAGGCTGGTCAATAGGATATGCCAGGCCCTCAGAAGTTACTATAATTCACATAGGAAGATTTGCCAAAAGGTAAGTAAAATTTCATAGTAAGTTCATTTAGTTTTCTATGGATGACAATCAGTAGCAAATACTTTATTCTAGAAAGACATGAGTGATTGATGGTTTTAAAATCTGCAATATTTCTCCTCATTTAAATCAAATATGCTCACTGTCCTGACTTTTTATCTTTAATGTCAATATTTATATTTGTCAATTAAAATAATAGGTATAAGTGAAAACATAGTTATGAATACATGAAATTGATACATATAAGAAAATAAAAAATAAAAATAAAAGAAACAATAGGACAGGGACGGTAGGCACATTGGTGCGCTTATGCACGCCCCCTACAGACCTCTTAGGAAAGGGGTGAGGTCAATAGTAGACAGTCTAAGGTTAAAGTTTTTGGGGTTTGGGGAAGAAACCATAGTCAGGTAGAGTATTCCAGACATTGATCGCTCTGTTGCTGAAGTCGTATTTCCTGCAATCAAGTTTGTTGCGATTAACCTTGAGTTTGTATCTATTGTTTGCTCTTGTGTCGTTATGGCTGAAGCTGAAGTATTCATTGACAGGTAGGACATTGCAATGTATGATTTTATATACTATACTTAGATCAGACCGAAGGCGGCGTAGTTCTAGCTTTTCTAGGTCTAGAATTTCAAGTTTGGTGGCATAAGATATTCTGCAATGAGGAGTGGAGAACTCTTCTTGTGAAATACTTCTGGACTTTCTCAACTGTGTTAATATCAGATACGTAATGTAGGTTCATGCTTTGACAAAATGAGAACTTACCCTCTGTGGCAGGATTTTGTCAGCCATCTTCCGCCTTTTCAATCTACAAGAATTGTACATAAAATAATCAATGAATGACCCTTTTGGAAAATTTATTTTCACTTTTTTACAAATAGAATGAATTGACTACAATCTATTTATCTGTCACAGAAAATAATATAATCTGAATGTTCTCAACATTTAAGTCAGAACATGGAACCTATGACCTTCCCAAAGCTGCTGAAATATCTTAGCGGTTTAGTCAATAAGGTGATGGCTGCTGTAGCATGTAATTCAATGAACACTGGAGGGCCTAAGATGTGTCTAAATTAAGAATTGCCAGATTTTTCAGTATCACAATATCTTACCTCAGTTAGGCCCTTTTAACAAAAAAACTCAATTAAAAATGAGCATACAATTTCAATATTTTCTTTTTAATTAAACATAAATTTCTTCTTTTAAAACAAAAACAGAAAATATTAGTTAACTTTATCAATGACAGAAATAAATCAAATTTAATGTAAAAGCCCTACACCTTTAAATGCGTATTTAAAGTTAAAATGCGTTGCTGCATTTTATTTACAAATTGGGAAATTCCAAGTTTGAAAGACAGAAGTAAATAATGCAGATTTCTTTAATATATAATACAAAACACTAGCATTATAACATAATCCATTGTCTTAAACTTTAAACAGCTGATTTTAACAAACTCAGAGACAGCTTAGGAAAGATTCCATGGATGAAAATCCTAAAGGAGAAAACAACTCAAGAAGTAGGTGGCAGCAGTGGCTAGGAGGTTTGCAAAAATTCTATCTTGGATGCCAATTATGTTATTCCTGAACCAGGAGATCTCATGGTCATTCATGCTCTGGTTACTCTCCAGTTGGACTACTGGAATGTGCTGTACCTTGAGTTGCCCTTGACCATCACCCAGAATTTCAACTGGTCCAGAGTATGATAATGCACAACATTGGGTGTCCCTAGGACTAGGTCCATCTAGGTTACATCTGTGTTGCATGAGCTGTACTGGCTCTCAATTTTATTCTGGATGTAATTTAAGGAGCTGATGTTACTGAGTCGAGTTATTATTATTTGCAGGATTACCTGCAAATATCTGCTGTGCCACCAGATTGGACAGAGTAGGCATATTCCAGAACACTTCCTTTACACGATGCCTTCCAGTGGGACCTAGGACTTTTTCCATGTTCCAGCACTATGAAATACTTTTTCCTATGAGATCAAGCAGGCTCCCACTCACTTAACCTTCCAGAAAGTCGTAAATGCTTTTTTCTTCCTTCAAGTCCTGGTCAGAGCTGGAAGATAGAGCTGCAGTATTGGTTGCATACATGGAGACCGGTTGTAGTGCCAGGTTTCTTTATTTCTGCTTTTATTGCTTGTTTTTATCCTTTTATGATCTTTGGTTTTATTTAACCGTTATGAGCCATCAGAGTTGAAGCCCTAAGTCAGAAAGCCTTCAAATCTCTTCTTTTTCTTAACCTCGATTTTAACATAAATGTAACAAAATTCATGTACGGTATTTCTACAGAAGAATATTCATATTTTTGCCAATTACTATCACAGTAAAATCCCAATTTATCAAACCTTTCAGGGTGAAAGGTGAGGATAAATCTGAAGGTAGAAGAAAGTAAAATATGAATGGAGTGGGAAAAAGAAAATAATCATTATTTCTTTTCCTCAGGCATGTTAGTATCCAAACAGTCTAAATTGGATGCTGCAAAATACAGTGAATGGCAGAAGGTTGTGAAAGCACTAGGTGCAGTATCTGAAAGCATAAGCCAAGTGCGACTAGTCAGAAAGCAACCTTGTAACATGGAGGAGCAGGAAAGCATGTGTGCTCTTAGAGGAAAAGTGCAAAGGGGCAACTTGAGAGTCTCTTCTTCCTCTGCATTCTAGCAAAAGAAGGCAGATAACAATGTAGGACTCAAAATGTTTTCATCTCCTCTCTAGAGCAGTAAGTAAAAAGGCTGGGAGCACTTGAGTCAAGTCACTGTGGTTCTCCTTCAGCCATTACAGACGTAGCCTCTAATGTTTTCTGGATGCTAAAATAGCCATATATACTACTAAAATTCTCATGCTTGTTTTATGGTTTGTAACTTCAATAGGACAAAATGGTGCAGCATATGGCAACAAATTTAAAATCAACACACTTCAAATGGGCTATAGAATGCATCTGAAATGTGGTGGGGCTCATCTCCAGGCGGGGAGGGGGGATGAGTCTGCCTATCGAGATAAGGTGGACCCATTGCTTTTGTGGTGTGGAGACAATAACTTGGTCCTTAACACCAATAATACCAAGGAGCTTATAGTAGACTATAGAAGGAATAGATCAGATATCCAGCCCTTGGTTATCAATGGAGATCGAGTGGAGCAAGTGGCTAGTTTTAAGTTTCTGTGTGTTATCATATAAGAGGACCTGACTGGGGCGCTCACATTGCAGCACTTGTCAAAAGGGCCCAGCAGAGATTATACTACCTGAGACTTCTCAAGAAACAACTGAATAAAAAACTGCCAGTGACCTTCCACCGCTGCACCATAGAGAGTATTTTAATTCTGCACCTCTGTATGGTTTTCCAATTGCACAGTGGCAGATAGGACATCGCTCCAGAAGATTAACATCATTGCCCAGAGGATCATTGGTTGCCCTCTCCCCTCTTTGGAAGAGCTTTATAGCTCCCACTGTTAACAAACTTCAAAACATTTTTAAAGATCCATCTCATCCTGGGCACCCTTTTTTGAACTATTTCCATCTGACACAGGATAATAAAAATAAGAACAAATAGCTGAAAAGCAGCTTTTATCCCTGGGCAGTAACTACACTGAACTCTACTGTATAGTGCAATATTAATGCAATATCAGGGGTTTTCAATTCAATTGTATGTGAAGGATGTATGTTTTTGTTTTTTATTTATCTTTTTATGTATACTGTGCATTGAAAATGGCATTTAATTTCGTTGTACAAGGTGCAACAAAGTAAAGTAAAGTAAACTAAACTAAACGTGAAATCTGGGACTTATGGCTCCTGTGGAATTAACATTTGGTAAAGTTGTGGAAGCTTCAGTACTGCTGCATGTCAAAGTCATCCACAGTCACTGATTATCATTTCCAATGCTCCCGGGCTATCATTATCCACAGGAACCAATATTCCATATTACCTGGACCTCTTGACCTATATCTTAACTTCCAGAGATGATCTGGGTCAAACATATATCTAATGCGCATCATGGTCTGCTACAAAAATGTAATAGATTTAGAACAGCCCAACAATGCGGGAGGAGGAACCCTCAGATTTCTTTTTCTGAAATATTAAAAAAAATCCAAAACATTTGAGTTCTAAATCATCTGAGGACATCTTAGATCTTTTATTTACTTAAATACAGTCACATGATGATAAAAGTGTTCTGTCCAATAAATTTAGATACATATATTTTATGTATCCAAAGATTCAAGGAGACGACTAAACACTGACATTAATCAGAGAAAGGAAGAAAACAAGTTGTTTTGTAAGTCCAATCATTATTCTGAATAATAATGAGATGTTATAAATCAAATGATTTAATATAGATATTATAATATAAATTAAGGCATAGCATATATTTATCTAGAATAATAAAGCTAAAAAGAGACAAAAATAACACATTTTAGAGCTATAAATGAAATTCTGCCAAAAACAGATCAATTTCATCTCAGATTTATCATAGAAGAAAAAATGTAGCAACTTAAATTGAATAATGGTTTTCAACTTCTGAAAATGAGAATCAGTAAACCAACAGTTTTCTACTGATTTACACCTTTATTTTCCCTCTGCAGAATTTGGCCTCTGAAATCTCAATGCCAGATGTTTACAGCTGCTCAGTTCTCTATACAACTTCTCCTTTGGATCAAGCTGGAGTAGAAGAAATTGCCAAGAAACTGAATGTCATTTGCAAACCATTTGCTTTTAAAAACAGCTGGTAAAATGAGGCCAAGCAGAGTCTGTTGATGGGCCAGAAATATTTTTGAGAAAAAAAACAGCCTACATTTGAATTCAGTAGAAATAGCTTATATAATTAGAATAAGAAATTAACTTGAAAAGAGTAAAGAAGGAGGCAGAAATCTATAAAAATGAGATAAGGAAAAATGAACTACAACTTCACCTTAACATTGTATAAAACCAGAGGTGGTATTCAGCAGGTTCTGACCAATTCTGGAGGACCGGTAGTGGAAATTTTGAGTAGTTTGGAGAACTGGTAAATACCACCTCTGAGTGGCCCTGCCTCCATCTATTCTCTGCCTCCCAAGTCCCAGCTGATCGGCTGGGTCTTCTTTTGTTGCTCTGCACAGGAGAACAAAGCTGGAAAGCAGGTTAGTCGGGTGGGGAGGGAATGGGATTTTGCAGTAACCTTCCCGCAGGAGTGGGGAGAGAATGGAGATTTTACAGTATTCTTCCCCTGCCATGCCCCCCAAGCCACACACCCCAAGCCATGCCACACCCACCATGCCACGCTCACAGAACGGGTAGTAAATTTTTTTGAATCCCATTACTATATAAAACACTCTAAAAATACGATATATAAACCCTAACGTGAAGTTAAAAGTACTTCAATATGTATTTCCACCATTTTCTTACACCCAAATCAGTATCTCATATATATAAGAATACTCCATACGTAGACATTCCCTTTCCTCTAGGAAAAAAAAAGAACTAGAACAGAGAACTTAAGAAAAAGAGGCATCTCATTTAATAGGGGAAGAAAAAACTGGGTGGAAATGAGATAAGGGCAGTAGGTAGTTAAGGAAAGTTTGCTTATCTAGTGATCACATAGTGTGAATGAAAGGAAGTGAAGCTGCAGCCAATTCATTGATGAAGTGAATAGTTGCTAGGTGCCAGTTGTAATGTCATGGCCCTGTCAGAGCCTGTGCCCAAGAAGCCTGTGCCCATGGCCTGACAAGATGGAGCTAGGGCCGATGAAGGAATGACTGGAGGAGGAGGACTAGGCAGTCCTGGGTCCCTTGGGCCTGGGAAGGGTCGAAAGAGGATGCGGGACAACCAAGCGAGAGAGGAGG